CATATCAACATTTATCATATAATATAATTATAAATTTTCAATTTTCTATTATTTAAATATAAAAATATAAAATGTCAAAAAATTATAAATTTATCATAATCAAATTTTTTTTTAAAAAAAAGTCCTAATACCTTAAATAATTTTAATTTCCATATTATTACTATTAGCCAGCACATATTGTGATTTAAATAGCAAGCCCACTTGCATGCGGCGCAAGTCATATATTGCTGTTGTGCGCCATTGGAAGCACGACGACCATTTCTGAGTAGTGGGTAGGCATCATGTCGTACCCCTTAAACCCTTCGGTGCTGTACCTGTTAAATGCCATTAGGCGTTTGTGGGCTACTTTCCTAACTTATTGGGCATTTTTCTCAAATTTTTTAAATATATGAGAAATTTATATTTATATATAAATTATTCTATTCTAATTCTATTTGAATTATTAAGCTTAAAAATTCTTGTTTTAATATACTACAACAATAATAATAATAGCATCCGGCCTTATTGCACTACTTGGGGTCGGGCCATAAATCAGTTACTTCCATTTTTTGAGACTTATTAAGGAGAGATTATTACGTGCAGAGTCTGGACACAGAGGATCATTTGATTTTGTGTCTGTGAACAGTAAAAATTCAGTTAATGTTCACCCATGCGCTTTTACTGTTCACAGTCATAAAACCGAACGGTTCTCTGTGTCAGGACTCTGCACATAATAATCTCTCCTTATTATGAGTCGAATTATCATTTAAATCTAATAAAAAAAATCATTTTCAATATTTTAAAATCAAGTTTTTTTAGATCTGCATCTAACTTGATAAACATAAATCAGACCTAATATATCTACTCTCCTAATCAGATCATCGAAAAGCTGATGTTTTATGTTACCGAACCATGCTAAGGAGACTCTTTCTAATATAAATTGTTCTATTTATAATGCTTCCAAAATTTTCTTTTGATTTTAATACACAAATTAGAAAAATTGTGTTTAAAATTTCTATCAAATTTTAGTTATGATTGATAACGGAGACCGGCCTTTTTTTAAGGGTAGATAAAATAGAATTTATTTGTGTATAACTCTCGAGGTGAAATACAAAATTATTTTTTCCTAGAATTTTGGGCAAATTTATTTATTGAGTGGGGCGAAATAATTAAAATACTTATTCTATTAACAGAAAAAAAAATTAGGATGTGCAATTGACCTATTTGGGCTCTTTCTAGGTCCGCCCCTAATGCATGATACAACTATTAAATTTATTTTGAAATAAGAATAATATATGTAGAATTAATTAAAAATATTAAAATAAATGCAATATACTTTGATATGAATAGAAGGATTTTTTATCATTATTATTGAGAAATAAGTTTTGAAAAAGATAAATAAATAGAATATTTCATTTAAAATAAGAATTTATTTGCAAATTTTGGCATTACACTTTTAATTCATATTAAGATCCTATTATTTTTTATTATTGAGATATAAATTATGAACAGGATAAATAAATAAATGAAATTTGGCCTTAGGCTTTTTGTTTATATTAACGTACTATTATATTTTATGAATCGTCGTATTCTTACATAATGATCTTTATGTCCACATCTCATTAGATCGGCTAATCAAATTATCATTCAAATAATAATATTTATGATAAATTTTAATCCTTATTTTTATTATTGTAATATTAAAAAAATAATATTAACGTTTATTTCCTCACCACATGTCACCCCACATCGCGCCGACCTGAATAAGTCATATGATCTTATTTAAGCTACGTTTGGGGCGACTTTTGGTTGTTATTTTTTCGTTGCTTTGAAGAAAATTTCGTACTAAAAAATTGCTTTAGAAAGTAATAAGATGTCTGACCAGCCAGTCGATGGATTACTATAACCAATTCTTCGTAGTATGTATTATTATGATTAGATTTACAAATAATTTAAGTTATAAATGGTAAAATTTATGGTTTGAATTTGTGCTCATGAAATATAATTGTCATTTTAGGCTTCGTTTGAAGCAGATTTTTTGCTGCTTTTTAAAATAGTTTTTAGAAATTTATATACTAAAAAATTATTTTAGAAAGCAGTAAAAAAGCTGTCTCAAATGAAGCCTTAACCAATAAGCTTCAAGTTTTATCGTCATGTCATAAACTCTTGTGATTTGTTTTCGCTTAATCACTCCTTTCATGATTCACTGGATTTATTAACGAATTGATTTTATAATATTTTGACAACTTACCAAAACACTTTGCGGTGAAAAGTCTTGTAAGTTTTTTAGGGCAAAAAAATAAAAATTTAATTACAAATTTTGCAAATAAATGACTACTTAATATTACAAATGTAGGCTAAACAGAAATCTCAAATTGATTTTGCAAGACAATGTAGATCAAAAACCTTTGGCTTGCAAAAAGGATTTGGCTTTAAGAGAGAGCTTCACACCAAAGAAAGTGTATTTTGGAGTTCCTGAATGGTACAGTGAGCTTTCTAGAAAGCTTGAAATTGATGAGAAGAAATCATTTTTCAGATTTTGATTTTGAGAGCTGCGAAGAATTTTCCATTCTTTAAAAGAGCTTTGGATAAGAAAAAAATTATATTTAAGCTTCGTTTGGAACAGTTTTAGATCACTGTTTTTTCTTTGAAAGCAATATTTTACTAAAAATTAGCATTTCTAAACAGTAAGAAAGCCGTCCCAAGCAAAGCCTTATATTTTGGCTTCGTTTGGTACGGCTTTTTTATTGCTTCTTAAACCAACTTTTTAGTACAAAAATATACTAAAAAGCTACTTTAAGAAACAGCAAAAAAAATCATTCCACATGAAGGCTTTATTTAGGATTACTATAGTTTTTTATAAATATAAAAGAAGTTATAAAATTGTTGTAGGGAAAATAATTTTTTTAAAAGTTGTTGTAAAAAATAACTTATTAATACAATTTTAAAAAAAATAATCAAAATTAGTTGCCTAATAAAAATTACAATTGTTTTCCGAAAAAGTAAAATAGCAAGAAATCTATCCCAAACGGATCATTAGTAAAAACCAATAGATAACGTCTTGGAAAAAAATAGCAGTTGAGGAAGCTTCTAAGAACTGATTAATTGTATTGGGAAGTTTTTTAGATGTTAAAAGAGCCTTTTAAAACCATTAAAATGAGGTAAATATGTCACATAATGGTTAACGGGTAGGCCACTTGGCTATCGGGTCATGAGACAACCTATCGTGTCGTAAAAGAAAATGGATCTACAGGTATCAGCTTATATGAAGAAAAATTTTGAATCTAATATTATAATAATAATTTAACATAGCAAAGTAAAAAAATATACAAAGTTATATAGCTAAGTGATTAAAAAAAAGCCAGATTAGTTCATAAGTGTTAATTTAAATTATGTAAAATAATCAGTGATTAAATGAATATTTTTAATCATTAATTTAATTTTTAGAAGTTAATTAAAATTGTATTTATGTCAAAATTGGTTGAGAAAAACTCCAAATTTATTTTGCAAGTTAAAACTAATTTTGGCAGATTTTTATGTCATTAAAATGGATTTTGGCTCTATGTGAGCTTAAGAGCTAACTTGTTAGCTAATAGCCTATTACCTCTAATGGACTTTCATGCTCGTCTCAAGCTTCGTTTGGGATGACTTTTTTGTTGCCTCTTAAAGCAGCTTCATAGTATAAAAATTTTAATTTTTGTACTAAAAAATTGTTTTAAAAAGCAACAAAAAAGCCGTCCCAAATGAAGCTTTAAGCTCATCCATCATTATCCTCTATGGACTTCCATGATACTATTAGAGGATCAATTGGAACACACGCCACTCTCTAAAAGCCTTCTTTTTGCCTTCCCTCTTTTCCTCTTTCGTGCTCTCCATATGGTTCACAACGGCTTCCGACACAAGAACCTAAGGCGCTATTGATTCAGGTTGTAATGTCATCATCTAACTTGACGTGTAAAAAGGTTGAGCCGGAGAAATTCTCTTTTATCATAAGATTTATATGATTTGAGCAAATTGATTTTAACTTAACAATAATTTTGATCGTCTATAAATTATAATCTATTGTTCGAAATTAACATGAGTAAGGGTGTAAATGAGCCACACCTAAAAAAATAAAGATGTGCTCTATGTTGTTCCATATTAATTAAAAGAGAAGCATAATACTATCTTTAAGTGTTGCAGAAATGAGGATGCTCAGGTGACTGAGTGGCTTTACCCTTAGAGATAGGATACGAAATGAGCATATACGTGAAAAGGTTGGAGCATCGCCAGTGGAGGATAAGATTAGAGAGAGTATTCTTAGATGATTTGGTCACATAAAACGGCAGCCTTCTGATGACTCGGTTAGAAAAATAGATGTATTAGATTTGACTTACGTTAATAAAATTAGAGATATACTTAAAAAAATTTCATTAGAAAATATTAGAAATGATATTTCTTTATTAGATTTAAACGAGAATTTGACTTTTAACATAATACAATTATGAAAAAGGATTCATGTAGCCGACCCCACGCAGTGAGACAAAAATTTGATGTTGTTGTTGTTTTATTTTCTTTTCATGTATCTTATATTTCAACATTTTTAATCACTTCATTGTGATGTAAATTTATATTATTTAAAAAATGATAAAAAAATAATTAATTGTATATATTTAAAAATCAAAAAGTTTTTTTTTATTCAATTCTTAAAAAAAAAACAAATTGTCCAAATATTGCGTTCAAAGAGCTGTCCTCCTTAATATGAGGACCACTTTTGCCGGTAATTCAATCACAGCGGCTGTTACCCATTTGTGGTTACACGGTTTGTCGCGCTTCCGATTTGCCAATTGGCGAAGTCTTTACGGAGAAACTCCGACTGTTATGCTTAGCCAATTAATCCAAAAACTGTAACAAAACAATAAAATATTCAACGTCTCTCTGCATTTCTACCTTCTCTGCCTGCGGCCTTTATATAGAGCCAGGAAGCGATGCCGAGGAGTTACGATTCGTCTTGTGCGGAGCTCTAAGAAGAATTTGGATCAATGGCCATGCAGGGCGAATGGACACTTGGCCCCGTCATTGGCCGCGGCGCCACTGCCATCGTCTCCCTGGCGGCTCACGACAACTCCGGTGATCTATTCGCTGTCAAGTCCTCCCACGTCTCTCGATCTGCTCTCCTTCAAAAGGAGCGGAGCATCCTTTCCTCGCTTTCCTCCCCTCACATCATATCATGCCTCGGCTCCAGCGTTTCTGGCGAATTTTACCACCTCTTTCTCGAGCTGGCCAGCGGCGGTGCCTTGTCCGACCACGCCGGACATCTCGAAGAGCACAAAATCCGATCTTTCACTCTTCAGATCCTTCTCGCACTCCGCTACCTCCATTCCAACGGCATTGTCCACTGCGACGTCAAGGGAAGGAACGTTCTCGTGGGCTCTGATGGCAAGATTAAGCTCGGGGACTTTGGCTGCGCTCGCCGTATTGGAAAGGGGTTGGCGATGGGGACACCGGCGTTCATGGCACCGGAGGTGGTGCGAGGGGAGGAGCAGGGGATTGCCGGAGATGTGTGGTCGCTGGGGTGTACTGTGGTGGAGATGGCGACAGGGAAGTCGCCGTGGCCGGACGCCGATGATCCCGTTGCGGCAATTCATCGAATTGGATTTACCTCCGACGTGCCGGCGATGCCGGAGTGGGTTTCGGAGCAAGCGAAGGACTTCGTTACGAAGTGCTTCCAGCGAGATCCGAAGGAGAGATGGACAGCGGAGCAGCTATTAAGCCATCCATTTGTGGCAGAAGCAGAGAAGGGCGAGGAATGCTCTGTTCTGCCCCGTTTTAATTTGGAACAGTGGAAGTGGATCTCTCCTAAAACAACGCTGGATTTTGATTCATGGGATGCGGAAATCGATGAGGAAGAAGAAGAAGAAGAACTCCCAAGCCCAATGGAGCATTCGATGGAGGGAATTCAGCAGCTGGTGTCGCCACCAGCAAACTGGACTTGGGATCACAACTGGACCGAAGTCCGAGCAACTATCGACGACAGAAAGGCGGCAATTCTGCCGGAAACTGGGTGTCGAAACTTGTTCTCCGGCGAAGCAGGAGAATGCAGTGGGAGGGATTTCGATTTTGATTTCTATTGTGACGAGGACATGGATTCCTGTTGCTCTTCAATGAATTATGATATGGAAGTTTTGAGCCCTGCTTCTTGTGTTGATCAATTCGAAGCAGGAGATCAAACACAGAATTTGATCTGCAGTTGTATTAGTTCTCATTGGGATTTCAATGAAGATTAACAAATTTCGTATCTGATTTTGCTGATGATTGGTATTTTAATCCCAACATATTTTTGAAGAAAATTATATAATCATATCAATAAATTAAAAAAATATTAATTTGTAAATAAATGAATAAAAAATATAAATTTTTAATAAATTTATTGGATCAGAA